TATGAATCCTGATTGATCACTGTGAATCAAATCCTTCATAACCTGCATTAATCTATTTGTCAAAATTTTAGTAAAAATCTTATAATCTACATTTAATAATGATATTGGCCTGTAATTCTTAGGCTCTGTAGGATCTTGATCCTCCTTCAGAATCAATGATATAAACGCTCTTTTCCAAGAAGGAGGAACTTGTGCTCCCAACAAAATACTATTAAAAAGCTCCTTTAATGGCTCCAGCATTTCTTCAGATAAATTTTTATAATACGTCGACGTCAATCCATCTGTTCCTGGAGACTTTCTCGCCTTTAACTGCTTAATAGCTAAACCAATTTCCTCCACAGTAATTAAACAATTCATCCCATTTTGCTGTTCCTCAGAAAGTTTAGGAAAATATACTAATTGTAAATATTTATCTATATCCATTCCCTTTATATTGTCACTTGAATATAGTTTTGTATAAAAGTCTAAAAAACTCTTTTTAATCAAACTTTGCTGAAAAACCTCGGTACCTTTATATTTTACTTTCTCTATAATCCTAGCCTTCTGTTTCTTTCATAACTGATAAGCCAACCACCTCCCAGGCTTATTTGCATTACAAAAAGTATTATGTCTCATATAACGCAGATTGGTAGCCACCTGATCTGCCATCAACATATTAAATTGTTCCCTAAGCATATTTATAGAAACCTTTAAGTTATTATCAGTTGGGTTAAGAACAAGCGCTTCTTCTTTTAGTTTAATCTCATCTTCTATTTCCCTACATCTTTGTAACCTTTTATCCCTAAAAACTTTATTTAAATGAATCAAAATTCCCTCATATACGCCTTACTGGCATCCCAGACCATGGCATCGATGTACCCTTATTCATATTTAAAGCAAAAAACGCCTTTAAATACTCTTTACATTTTTGTACAAACTCTCCCCGGGTAAACAAATTCTCATTCAGTCTCCAAGGCCTTCTGTTCCCATCTTCCCAATGTAGCTCCATCCATACCGGACTATGGTCTGACAAAGTCCTGGGAAAGATTTTTATCTTCCTCACCCTAAAAAGAAAATCACTAGTAATCAAAAAGAAGTCAATCCTTGAAAATGACTGATGTCTATCCGAATAAAAGGTGAAATCTCTATCACTTGTATTCCTTTCTCGCCAAATGTCAATAAGTTCCAACTCTTCTTTCAAATCAAAAAAAGTTTTGGGTAATTTAGTTTGAGTGAAATTTTTAGAAGAGCTCTTTTTATCTATGGTTATATACAAAACTCCATTCCAGTCACCCATCAAAATTACAGATTTATAATCCAACTGAGATATCTTCCCATGCAAAAGCTTATAGAATTGCTTCTGTTGTTGATTAGGGGCATATAATCCAACAATAAGAACTTTCTTGCCTTGTAGCAATAATTCCACAAAGACATATCTTCCTTCAGAATCAATGTCAATTAATTTAGCCGATAAATTTTTCTTCACATAAATTACAACACCCCCTTTTTTCCCTGGAGCTGGAGCTATAAAATGTGATCCCAGACGAGAATTTGTCAGATATTTTGAGTCCTTTGAAGTTATATGAGTCTCTTGCAAACATATCAAGTCATTGTTATGTTGTTTCAAATAGTGGAAGCCCTTTCTCCATTTCTGTGATGAATTTAAGCCATTAACATTCCAGGTCAAGAACTTGGCCATCTCCACCGGCCTGAAGCCTCTGAAGCATAGCTGAAGATCAACTGTCGAAGATCTTTTAGGTCTTGCCCATCCCACAAGCTCTGTAGTAACCATTCCTTCTACTTTATCACCACTCTTCTGCTGCTGCTCTTTTTCTTTACGTTTGTGGGCAGCTCGTGTCATCCTTTGATCTTTTATCTCAAAATTCTGTATAGGCAACACCGCTAGTTCCATGACCATCAACGAGGAGGCTCCTGCCATAACAGGCTCTTCAATTATCCTTGTTTGTGGAGGTGAAGACGGTCTTGCCTTTAAAATAGAGTGATAAAAATCTCTTGCCTTTGAAACTGTAATTAATCTATAACTTATTCCATCATAATTCACTACTATTCCTCTTGGAATCTCCCATCTAAACTGAATTTGATGACGTTTTAACTCATCAGACAGAAAGGTAAAATCTTTTCTACCTCTTAAGATTTTTGGAGGTATTTCTTTTAAAATTATCACATCTTGAGCTGCAATTTGAAACCTCTGTTTATAAAAAGCCTGTATAATTTCATTGCGAATAGATCTTCTGGAAAAGTAAATAACCACATCTCTTGGTAGGTTTCTCTGTCTGGCAACCCGTGAGTTAACTCTGAAGACTTTTTCTATCTCATTCCCAACTACTTCTGATCTCCATCCAAGGTTAAAAGCAATATCTTTAACAATAAGCATCTTTAAATCTTCCTGGGAATTTTCTTTTAGTCCCCTGATACGCAATGCAAACTCCATTTCTCTGTATTGTGAGATAGTTTGTTCATCCTGTGTAATTTCTATCTTATTCTCCACTTCCTCCATTCTAAATTCCAGTCTTGCTGCATTTTCAATAATCTCCTCCATTTTATCATCAATCCTTTCAATATGCAGAGCAAGACCTTGAAACGCAAATAGTATATGATCTCTGACCTGCTTATTTTTTTTCTCCAATAGTTCTTCTGTAATAGCCCTCTCTGCAATTATAAGATCTTTTACCTCCTCTTTAATATCCAAATCATTCATTTTTAAAGCCTCTTGTAAGTCTTTAAGAGAAATTGCAGGAGGAGGGGAGGGTGGGGTGATTTTGGTTTAGATTGAGAAGCAGGTTGAATCATTGGGGAGGAGATAGAAGCTTTAGTGACAGAGACCAAACGTTTTGAAGCCATTCTGTTAAATTCAAAGGAGCAAAATTCTTGCCACTATAATATCACAGTTCTTTAAATAGTAATAAAAAGAAAAAGAGAAAAAAAAGGAACAAAATTCTTGTCTCTATATTTAAAACATGAACTGTATCCAACTTTTAACTTTGTTGCAAAATCAAACAAGAAAGACAGTCGCCATTTTGCCTTTCACTTTCACTTTCTTCAAAAGGGAAAGTAAACAATAAAAGGGGGAGAAGATGCTTGCAGGAGTTAAAGTCACAATCAATCTTAAATCCACTTTCTCCTGGTCTGCTCCATCTGCATTTAAGTACCCACAAGCCTCCGAAAAAAGCAGATGTGGGAGCGGTGCCTTGCTTCATCCCAGCACTTCGGGACAAAGATGTCCTGGAGCGCGGAGTTGGCTCAGGCTCCGAGGGAGCTCTACCCTCCGATCCCCAAAATTATAGGGATCCAGGGGAGCTCTTTCCTCTACCTGAGCAGCTCTTCTCTTCCCTTTTCCCAGGGAAGAGATTCAAGCCGCGGGACAGCTGATTGTCAAAGTCCCGCCGGCTTTTACACGACCCAGGAACAGGCAGCTTTGTGAAAAGCTGCCATCATCGCTGCTTGATCCACCGGAAGCCAAGACAATTTTATATTCATGCTATCTGAATTCATAACATTTTCTATGCAAGCTTTGACTGTTTTTCTGCAAAGCTGTTTCATGTCAGGTAAAATTCCTTTCAACACTTTCATTCCATTTTTATTCAAAACCTCAATAAAGTTTGGCATTTTATCTGTGACTGTTATACAGATCTAATTATGACAAAACTCTGACTTTTTTTAGAATTCTACAAAAGTAGAATTGTAGAATTCTTTGGGTGCACATCTAATCATTTTCAATTATCATCTGTTACAATCAAAAACATTTTCCCTAAAGGGGAGGGGCTCCCTAAATGCAAAAAAAAAAAAAACCAGAGTTTTCCTGACCATTTCCATATGTACAAAGATTCCTGTGTTGGGGACAATTGATGTTGACATAAGGAACATGTTTGGACATCTTGTTCCAGTCATGGACTCCACATTCAACTACAAGCGAAAGCTTTTGTCCTAAAAATTCCAAGATATTTGTTATGATGTAATTGCATCAAGGCCTTGAGAATAACATCATTTGCTTGCCTCTCAATACACAAGCATACTTGAAATAAAAATCAATTTCTTAAATCCAAAAATTGTGAAATTCTGCTTCATGATTTTTTGTGGGTAACTTGTTGGATGTGATGCAATATTCTGGATAGGATAAGATTTTATATAGACTATATTGTCAGTTTGTATGCTTCCATAGTAATATTTTCCAAATGTTCTATGGGACGTAGGCAGTGGTGGGATTCAAATATGTGAACAACTGGTTCTCTGTGTGGATGCCGCTTCCGGAAGTCCATTCTGGGCCTGGGCAACAAAAAATTAGCTACCAGTTCTGCTGAACTGGTGTGAACTGGCTGAATCCCACCACTGGACTTAGGGCTGTATATGTAGAGGAAGTCTACTTAGAACATCCATATTTCCATCTTGTTGCAAATAAACCCATATTTATAAGCTTTTGGAGTGACGTTCAACATTATATTCAGGCCTTCAACTGACAAAGATTTTCATTTACCATTTATATAGTATGTGGTTGACAATATAACTAGACCTTTACTCAGTATAAATTCAAAATTTTCAATTGTTTTTGGTATGAGATACAGATCTGCTTTAATTTTCTGGTAAGTTCCTTCATTAGTTACCAACCACCACAAATGCTTCTGTATATGTTTCTGTGCCTTCATATTAAGTATTAAAGTGTACAATCACTTTTAAAGGTAGCATTCAGTCTTCCTCTATAATGTAAACAGTGTGGTCTTCTTCCTGTTTAAGAAACAAGCATTTTGCTTCTTTGCCTTTCCTTCTGACCCATATGATTGTGCAACCAAATAGCTCTTTTCAATGCGGTACTAAATGTTCATTCTAAATTTATAACACTGAAGCTATTTATATGTTTGCAGAATGATCCTGAAGTTGAAACTCAAATACTTCGGCCACCTAATGAGAAGGAAGGACTCACTGGAGAAGGGCCTAATGCTGGGAAAGATTGAGGGCAATAGAAGAAGGGGATGACAGAGAATGAGATGGCTGGATGGAGTCACTGAAGCAGTAGGTGTGAACTTAAATGGACTCCAGAAGATGGTAGAGGACAGGAAGACCTGGAGGAACATCGTCCATGGGGTCGCGATGGGTTGGACACGACTTCGCAATTAACAACAACAACAAGAATGAAACAATGGAGATTTCCACAATGAAAACACCCTCTAATATTTGAATGTGAGTTCTGCAATTTGTTTATTGGTTTCTGCAGAATATCCTTTTATTTGATTCTAAATAATGTTGACAGCATTACCATCTGTACAGTTTGTTTCAAGTCACAGTAATTTCTTTTAGATGGGTAATATCCACAACTATACAAATCTACCCTGTGACATATCCTCAAGAATATTATCAAAAGTGAAATTTTCCATCAGTTTTTTAAATCAGCAATATATCAGTTTCACCATCTTTCTTCCTTCAGGTATGGAATTTGAATCATTCAGCTATTATACTTGGTTGGAATATATAATATTCAAACAGAATCTTTTGCAAATCTGAACATTTTTTATTTCTTTTTTTTTGTGGCAGCAACAGATGTTAGCACTATCAAATCAGGGCTGCAAAAATTTGGATAATCGTTTGAGGATATTAAAGAGATTTTTAAAAACTCACTTTATTTCCTCCCAGATGTCATCCAATGTTTGCTGTTCAGATCTGGTAGTCCTAGCAAATCAAGAAAACACATGACTTAGTCCAATACACAATAAGACAAATTGTTTGTTCTCACCTGTAATTTCAGCTTGGATCGTCAGTCACTCTACTTATTTCTGCTGGTCCTTCTTAATGTTCTTACCACAGTGAAATTTCCTCATTTTGCTGTTAAGAGCTGGTGAAAGAAAAATTAGGTCCACTTCCAAGCGGGCAATAAATAAAGTGGAGGCTGTTTTGAAGGAAAGTTCTGTTTATTGAAGAACAGAACCAACAGCACGTAGTTCTGAGACAGTTGACCAAGTGGGATTGGGATAGGTGAGCTTTTATACATTCTTTGTGGTTTTGTGTTTGGAGTTGTTCCTGTTCCTCTGGCTTTGTATTTAAGGTTCTTCCTGTTCCTATGCAATGTACTTTGATCTGAGCTTGAGTGCGTCCTTTTACGTGGGTTAATTCTATTATGTCCTAAAGGTAATGTCCCGCTTCTCTGGGTCTGTTACTGAAGGCATTTTGCTTATGAATAGGTGGCTCCAAATTTGCATTTCTAAAAGCTGGCCTCTGTCTGGGGGAAGGAGATTGGGGGCTGGTTTCTGCCTAAGATTTTTCTATTATTCCTTTGAGGAAATTTAATATTCTGTCTTTGTTAATATTCCCCAAAGTATTTCCTTCTCTAGCAGGATGGGTGAGTGTTAACTTCCAACAATCCCCCCTTTGTGCCATATAAGTGTGGATAACACACTTTTACTGGCACAAGATTAAGAAATGATCTGGTCAGAGAGACCTAATGAGTGCTTCTATGGGGAGTTCCTGGATGTGGGGAAACTAGCTTGTTAATGCAAAGGGAAAGGCACTGATAAATGCAACAGAAAAGGATCCCTGCAATAGCTCCCAAAGAGAGGAGCTTCCAACCCATAAAGGTCTAAACACCAGGGCAAACATTCTGTTGGGTGGAAAAGAAACTTATAGTGTCCAATATTCTGTGCCAATTATTATTAGCTCTTATGAGCTTCCAGCCAGGTTTTTGAAGCACATGCCTCCAAAATAAATAAGTATTGGCTGCCTATTTTCAAGGGTTGCTTCCTGAACTTGCCTTAGCTCTTAGTACATCCAGCTTTGTGATGTCCAATTAATATTAGCCAGTGTGTAAGCCAGGCTATTAATATTTCTTAAATTGCACACAGTGAACCCTAGGACTCCCATTCCCAACATATTCAGGATTTAGATACATATGAGGGCATATGAATTGTAAATCACCTGAGGGGCATGGTTCCCTCCCCCATGGAATTTGCAGGAAGGTATGCATGCAAAGGCCTTAGTGCCATCTGGGTGATGTAGGACTTGGGAAGATCTGTTCCACTCTGGTTGCATGGTGATTTTCTAGTGGATGGCTGGATCCAAACCCAATTCCCTGGCTTAAATGAATGGAAGCAGCATCTGGGTCATATTCTGATTCCAAAGGTTGCGGAGTATTCTATGAAGGGCTGAAAGATATGAGAACATGATTCCTTCCCCCCTTTTTGGGTGATTCTTCCAGAAGAGGCATTGCTGGTCAGATATGAGGATTGTAGAACAGAGGGTAAGAAATGGAGAAGTGGAATTGGGGGTGGATAGCTTGCAGGCAAGATTTTGAAAAGACATTGTTACTGCAGTTGTTAAAGAAACAGATAGACAAAATGGGGACACCAGAGATGAGGAGAAAAGAGAAGCTGGGCAGCTTGAGAATGCTGGAAGCTCCAAATAATTTTAAAAGCCTAATATTTTAATGTGTACAATTAGCCAGGGACAGGAGAGTCTACCTTTAATATTTGTTTTCAAAATATTTAAACATCCTGACAGCTTTTTGACCAACATTACCAATGCACAATTTAGATAACCACATTAGAGATTGAAAAAATGCTTATAAGTTCCAGGTTTAGTTCCATAGTAATTTTTTTTCTCTGATCACTGATAGGATAAGAAAAGTAACTTAAGAAAAAGATGTTCTTAAAGCTACAGAGACAAGAGCGAGAGAGGGAGGAAAAAATGAGCACATGTTTTGCTGGCCAGGCAAACTAGGATGAGGGTATTTTACTTTTGGTGGCTTATTTTAACATTTTTTCCTTTTTTCTTTTCCTAGCAGAATTTAAAATTCTTTTCCCTAGGGATTAGGGGCATTTAACAGTTACATTTAACTAATACACAAAGACTTTCACACACACACACACACACACACGGGAAAGAGAACAGCAAAGAGACACAGAACTCTTAGTTTTACACATCCTGGTCATTCTCAATGTAAATCACTGTTAACTTAAATTAAAAAGGCAAGAAAATCTTAACAATCATTAACTGGTTGCATAGAAGAGGGGGAAGAAATCAATGTTCCGATATTTTACTTTTCTTTTATTTACCTTTATTTAGCCAAATTGTTTTTTCCTGCTTCATCCCTGAGCAAAGTCCACTTCTTACACAACCTGTGTGCACGTCTTAATTTCATGCCTGGCTGGACAGGCAACTCCCACCGTCCCCAAGCCTCCATACAGGAGATCTCGGTGGGATCTTTGGCCCTGTTTTCCTTATTTTCTGGGCCGTGTTCCTCAGATCACCCACATCTGTGATGAGACTCCAAGGCTTTTTTCCTGGGTCCCACAAAATCCTCGGTACTACACCACCCTGCAGTACTACACTGTCACCAACAGGTGGAGGTACCTTCCAAGCTGTGGTCCGCCGCCTTACGGTTTTCAGGCAAATGGCCTGCAAGGATTCTGTTATGTCCTGGGCCTGCTGAGTAACTCAGCAGGTGCAGGAAGCTGCAGAGAGGCCCAGGCAGACCACGTGGATGCCTGGGACCAGACAGGCTGTCTCCAGCCTATTGCGCATGTGCAAGGCGGGAGAATCCATTGCATTGATTGGTTGATGCTGTCCCTGCAAAAGGGTATAAAAGGAATCGACGCCATTTTGTATTGTTCTGTTGGAGATTGAATAAAAAGAGACTGTGTTACTCCTGCCTTGTCTCAATGCCTTCACAACGAACAAAACAGAACATTGGCAATGAGGATGGGATGTGCTGCAAGGGAAACAACAAAAGAAGATAGTCTGACTCACCATGGAAGGCCTGAAGCGCTGGGATGTTCAGCGTCCGAAGAGTGCGACTCTGCCTGCCAGTACGAGAATGCTGGAGGAGAGCTCGGCAAAAGGGACCCCCTCTCAAGCCACTGCAGCACGAAGTGTTGACGAGGCCACTGGGAAGTAACGATGTCCAAGCTAGGCCATCTGTCAGAATTCGACACAGCTCATCCGGAATGTTGGAGTTCTTACATGGCCCGGGTAGAGAACTACTTTCGGGAAAACCATGTTCGGGAGGATGGTCTTAAAGCTGCTATGCTACTGTGTGTCTGTGGGCAGGAGACTTTCGATATTGCTGAGAACCTGAATCCATCGCTTATGCTTAGCTGAAGAGGATGTTGCAAGAACATTTTGAACTGAAGCTTTCAGTGATTGCATGGCGACACGCATTCAAGCAGAGGGACCAGCATCTGGGAGAATCTGCTGTGGACTTTATTGCTGTGTTGCGACAAGCAGCTAAGCCATGCAAATTCAAGGACCTGGAAGAAAGACTTTGTGATTGTTTAGTCTGAGGACTGAGAAGTCGTGAGCTGCAACAGAAGATCTTCGCAAAGAAAGACATTTCTTTCCAGGATGCTTTGAGAGAGATTATGGCCGACGAAACAGTGGGTGGAGCTGTGAAGGCCTTGAGGCTTTCCAAGAATCCTACAACATCGAGCTCAGTCCATAAAGAGGTCGCTTGAGAGGTATCTGAATAGGTCTCAGAGAACGAGGTCAACCGATTACAGCAGCCAGTGGAGAGAAGGCCCCAAGACCAAAACAACAAGGCAACTCTATTCCCTCAGTGTTTCGGATGTGGAGGATGCCACAAGCGCTCCGATTGCTGTTTCCGTTCTTCTGTTTGCCGCCGTCTGTTTGGGTTGCAAGGAGGATCATCTTGAGGGAGAATTGCCTCGGAAAGGTACCAGAGTCCCCAGGCAGAATAGGGTGGGTTTTTGCACATCCCGTAGAAGCATTTTTAAAACTGGGGCCCATAGGCTGCTAAGGAAGAAGCTTCACATTGACGTCAAGTTGCAGGGGTTCCCATATCGATGAAGTTGGACACGGGGTCTGCATTATTGATCATATCTCAGGACACTTTTAAGAAAATTTGTTGTAGAAGCGGCCAGTGAGTTAATCTCAGGCCGTCAAATTGAATTCTTACTGACTTTCAGAATTCCCGAGTCAGCATGAAGGGGGAGGCCACACTCAAAGTGCAGCGTAGGAACTTTGAAGGGTTGTTAGATGTAGTTCTGGTCGGGGTTGACCGCATGAGTCTCATTGGGCTAGATTGGTTTGAGGCCCTTGGGATTCAAGTGCCCGGACTTCACAGCTTGCAAACCACAGGCCTTGCGGCAGTTTGCAAGGAGTTTGCTGATGTGTTCAGTCCAGAACTTGGATCGTACAAGGAGCCTCCCATTGCTTTATGGTTAGACCTATCCGTG